ATTTCGGGTCCTTGCATCAGCGGCACTGGGGGAAGGCGTGCTGCGCGCCACATCAAAAGAACTCACAAACTCTAACAGTGCGCATGAAATGCTTGCTTGGCGATTAACCGTCGGATGGCTCAGTGGCTTAGATATATAAATAATTCATATATCAAGGATGAAGGCCCGTTAGTCAATCCTTTTTTGAGATGCAGCACGCACTCAGGATGGTAGTGGCTTATAGAATACAGTATGGCTTGTACAATGACTTGTTGGGGTCAGCTGATGTACAGGTCAACGGAGGACAGAGGAATTGGTTAATCTGAGAGAATGTTTCCGTGACCAGATAAATGAATTCTGTAATGAATTTCACTCAAAAATTTATAACTTATAAACAAAACCATAAAGCGTAAAAAAGCTGCTGTGAATGTGAGCTTTGTAAACGTTTTCAAAACGGGACAAAATGACCTGAGAATCGCAGCGAAAAAAAAACACTTTCTTGGGGCATAAACGGGGCATTTTTCAAACTGAATTTATTATCAAAAATATAAAAAGTAAGCGGAGGTGGTGTAGTGGCAAGTGGCACGCTTACCACGGTCCGGTAATCAAATCCTGGATCGGTCCCGCCCAGGCCAACCAAGCCCTGTACTCTCCGAGGACGGTAAATTGATACCAGATTCGTCTGTGGGGATAGAAACACTGATTTGTACATCGGCTGGCCCCAAAAGTCATTATATAGGCCACATCGCATTCAATAAGCCACTACGATTCTGAATGGAAGTAGAATGCGTGCCGCATCCCACAAAGGGATTGATCAACGGCGAAGACTTTATCCTTATCTTTATAAAAAAGACTTTTGCTCTTTTTCTCTGTATTCATAGCTCGGTAATTGCCTGGTTGGATGAATATTTATATTTGGTGTCTTCTCTAATTGTATTAGCCCTTCTGAGGGACCTTAAATGCCTTTACCTTTTCTCGTCCCCTCTTTTTTTCCTCCTTCACAGCTTCTACGACCATACCGTTGAGTCAGCTGAAGCTTTGAGATAAACGCTCTCGATAACGGTATCTCCGAAAGAAAAAGCGCCGTAGCTCTCGCGGCGAAAGGCAATTTCTCATCGCTCCAAAGTGATCGACACCACGGCTAGACGATGGAAACCGGGATCGGCTTCATTGGTTGGCCACGCTCGGCCAGCTGACCGCCCTCTGTAGCCGTAGTCAACCTGCGCACCATATAAAAGCGAAAAGTTCAGAGTTGCTGCAGCTTCTGGTGCTGTCCTCGTTTCCATATTGTGCAATTTTCTTCTTATTAATTTTACAGTACGCTGGCTGGCAATAATTATGCGGAAGCTCTGCGTTTCTCATTTTGAAAGCGAATTTGATTGCAAGCACTTTTCGAGTTCCAAGTCAATTCGTCTCTGTTCTTTATTTGTCCTCTAGCCAACTGAAGTAACTGCGCTGATACTTCCTTCTCTTATCCTTTTCAGTTTTTCCTGGAAAACCGCCTTCGCTTTACGACTAACTATTTTTTTCAAGGGCCTGAAATTCATCTACCTAGCCCACGGCATTTCGGAAGGGCCACCTCTACCAAGAGGGATCCCTGAGCTAACGAAGACTTACCTGGAAGGATATCTCATTTTCCGAAGGGCCGGCAGGCTGAGCAAGACTGAGAAGAGGACATGCAGGAGGCCCCGATTTGCTGAATGTCTAGTCGAGAGGCTGGTTGATGAACAGCAATCCGATGCCTAGAGACAAGCTTCCAACTTGCAACTGCGTCATAGCGCCCGAATAATGGGTTTCCATATCATTCTCTGAGTTCCAATCCGTCCACATTTCCAGTTCCGAAACATAACGATTGCATGGCGTCCATAGCCATCAAGGAGAAGTACGGAAATAGCGTCAAGCCCGATATCGCTATCAGAAATCATTATCCTCTCTTCCTACCCACTGTCGCTTTCATCTTTTATATCTCCTCTCCCCTGCTATTCATTTTCACATTTTTGTGACTCTATACAAACCCATTGCAGATGTTCCGATTACTGACGTTTCTCAGTGTGATAGCCCTTGCCACAACTATTCCTGTCGATAACGGAGTTGAAGGGGAACCAGAAATTGAGTGCGGTCCAACGTCGGTCACTGTCAACTTCAACACCAGGTACTTCAACACCACTATCCGTACAGTTTCCAGAATTCCATTAGATGGAACCGCGCATTTCCAGGAATCCGTTCGAAGGCCATGTTTACGTGAAGGGTCTGTTCGATCACGACGAATGCCGCAACAACGACAGTGGACGACAGGTACTTCAACAGTATTTCTTTTCGATAAATATGACAGTGACCATGACTAGCGGCACAATAATTTGGTTAGCGATCTAAGAAGAAGACCAAGAAATGTCGTTATCGAAAGGAGTTAATGCGGAGTCTGAGGCTGGCATACTCGGCCTGTCATTTTGGCCTGAAATGAACTGACAACAGCCTTAAAGGGCGTGCTCCGCGCAGTGTGTTGCATGCTCTTATCCTTACCATCCCACTTCTTTCTTCTATTTTTGCTCCTTTCAAGTTTTTGAAGGCAGCGGAACCGTTGAAGCCCTCCAAGAAACGACAGGGATGGATCAACGCTATTAAGCCCACGACATAGCCGGCAGAGGTCACCAATGGATCCCTCCGCCCTGAATCCCTCCTTATAGAGTATAGGAGAAAAAAGAGCGGGAATCGAGGCACATCGTCCGTTGGGGATTTTGATTGAGTCCGTACGACCTTCACTCCCTTTTTTCCAGGTTGTTGGTACCCCTGAATCCCTCCTTATAGAGCTGTTCAGCCAGGAAAAACAGCTAGACAAAATCAAGACCCTCCCTAATATTTCTTGGATTTTTCCCGACTTTCTACCGATTTTTTCTGGAGTTTCCCCAAGATTTTCCTACTTTTACCCGAACAAATTTTCCTGTCGAGCGGGTGGACAGAGAGAGTATAGTACGGACAGGAAAAGCACGAAAAGTCGGCATCCTCTCAGTAGGTCAGAAAGGGAATACGAGCTACTCCCTCCGAACGACGAACAAATACATCTTCCTCCCACCCTCCCTTGACAACGCTCCTAAAAAAAAATCAACTGTCAAAAAGTTTCCTCTGCCCAATTACATTCCCCCCCCCTTCTTCCAAGCGACAATACTACCCTACCCCCCTGCTTGGGAAAACCCCAAACAACGATGTGTTCTGGGGAAATGAAGCCTAGGCCAGATCTTCACTCTCATTCCTCATTGGACCCTTCAAACATGATAGAAGAGGGAGATTGGGAGAGTAATAATGAGGGAATCAAGGAGGACCGTGCCCACCTCACCATGACGGTGGGATAGGATAGGCGCAGTCTGAAGTGAGGACCAATGTTTGGATTGCATCCAATTCGACAAACAGCTTCTAATCACTGAGAGATTCCAGAGATGTTAAATTTAGTGTCTGTCGAAAGAAACTTTTAGCAGGCTGCTTCTCCCATTACTCTCACTGCTAAACGGCGTCCTAGACTACAGAGCGTCCGTGCGTCTTTCAATGCGATTTTCGATAGGAGATTGCTGTTTTTAGCTTGCCCAAAGTCATCGTGGGATTTGAGTAATTCACGAAGCAAGACCCGCCCGCGTGTGAAAAAAGAAAGACTGGACGTGCTTTTCCAAAAGTGAAGACGAATAAATAAAATGGAAGAAACCAGTGTTGATCAAGCGGCTGGTAAGCTGCTCAAAATAATACTGATTGGCACAAGACTCACCGAACAGAGCGCGATTTCGCACACAAATGGCATTACCTGTGTCATCTCCCTTCCAAATCGCTCACACACTGTCTGGAGAAACTCTGTCATCCTACGCATTCTATTCGAATTTGAGATGAGGTATTTTAGGTAGCCGGAATCGAACTTCCTTTCGATTCATGCAATGTGGCTCGTACTCGGTCCTTGAACCCACGTGGTGTGTTCGTTACCACAACTGTTGTCGTCTCATTCCATCCTCAGTTCGTGACGAAAGTTGACAGGTTGGCAGTTTCACTTCTTGGTGCAAAAAGACACCTTCAGCTTAGCAAAGTTTAGTAAGTACTGCACTATTCCTTTTTATTATTAGGCTCAAATCCTGTGTGAGAGCCTGATAGGGAGATCTAATGTCCTTCGTATTCTGGAAATTCCTTAGGGAATTGCCACAAGTTCCCCCGAACAAGACACTAGTAGTGCAGCGCTTCATCTAGGCTGGCTCAGGTGCAGTATGAATTTTCAATTCATCTGCTACCTGTTGGAAATACGAATATGGCTTCTTTCATAGAAGTCTGCTCATCTAAAGTGCAAATGGTTCAGAGCCTACCGTATCCAGTGCTTCTACATGGAAGCCGACAAGACCGTGTCCACCCAAATCGAAGTGTCTGATCTCACCACTGCCTTCCAGACCCAGGTAAGACCAGGATCCTTTCTT